GCAATAGGTATTCCACACCCACCTCAGCCCAACCATGGTTGGGGCTGAGGACGTGATCAAATTTTAAGAATAGGACCCTCTAGACGCTCGAAAATGGCACTCTCTTAGATGGTAAAAATATGCTTTTTCAAAGCAGTGTTTCTCTACAAAAAATGATTGACTTCCTCTCGACGGGAGCTATGCTCCCCCTCTTCCTCTCCCCTCACGGGCATCGCAAAGTTCTAATCAAGTACCTATAGTCTATTCTATACTGGGAGTCGCAAAGCAACTTATGATTTTGGTACCTCTAGATGCCCGGAAATGACACTCATTCAGACTTGAATACCTTATCTCCATTTTAAAAAAATGCTTACAAATGCAGGGGTCCTGGCCGGCTGGGCAACCCACACAGCTGGATTAATATGCTATATGTCTTATAGTCGATGTCAGTGACACATTATGCTGTTTTGTATCAGCAAAGCCCTTTTGGATCAGGGTGCTATAGAGCAAGGACTCTACTGGAAATATGGGTAGGGGCAGCGAAAGGGCCCTAAGGATCAATGGCCCTTGGAGAAAATTTTAAGAATAGGCCCCACTAGACGCTTGGAAATGGCACTCTCGGACGGTAAAAATGCTTTTTCAAAGCAGTGTTTCTCGACAAAATATTGACTTCCTCCCGACGGCATTTATGCTCCCTCGTGCTCCTTCTTCCTTATACACCCCTGGGGCGGATGCAGGATTTGGCGGTAGGGGGTGCGTGAGGTCCACCTCACTGCCCCTACCATGGTTGGGGCTGAGGGAATAGACAATTTTGAGAATAGGGATCTCTCAGGCGTTGATTTTCCAAGAATGGCTCACCCTATCGCCGACAGTCATGTCAGTTGTGGTTCACAGACGAATCGGGGTGCCTTTCCGATTGCGCAGGGCAGCTAGCAGTGTACGCAGACGAATCAGGGTACACTGCTAGCTGATAGGGTGAGCGATTATATGGAAACCGAACTTTACCCTGAGTATCGCACATAATGGGTTCCCTGGGTGGGCGAGGTCATGGGAAGAAAACGTAATGTTTGCTTGTTCCGACGCTGGAAGATTAGTTTAGACGTGGGGGGGGGGGGGTGGTCGTAGTCTTGTGGTTCTCCTAGCGTCGCAAAGTTTCGTTTTTTCTAGATGCTGAGAAATGCACTTACGTGCATTACGAGACTTCTATTGATGAATGAATACACACTGAATTAATAGATTTCCCCCATTTTATTAGCATGGACAATTAATTGCGATGATGAAGATGATGAGGATGATGATGATGATGATGATGATGATGATGATGATGATGTAATGATGATAAGGAGGAGAAGGCATCGTAGCAGGTGACGACAGGCTCCTCTGCAAGGTTAATTAACAGGCCATTTGATATGAGTGTCAAACGAGGCCCGTGTCCCGAGTTTGTCGTCACATTTTCAATGCACACAATCGGACAACAGTAATTATCTGTAAGTTATATAATCAGTACATTCTCGACTGTCATGAAAATATTATATATCTAAAAAATTACGTTATATGCATGCTCGGAAGCGGAATACCAGTAGTGGATTCGATGTACATTGGACCCCTTACATTTTTTTTCAAAATAAAAAAAATGGAGAAAAAAGAAAAATATTTTCAAATTTTAAGCCTGGTAGTGCCATTTCCGACCATTTATAATCCTTTATAATCATACATTTTCAAACCCCAGCCCCAACCATGGTGAGGCTGAGGTGGTATAGAACTTCCACCTCTGAAAGTCCCTCCTCGGGCCCCGTCTATTTCGAATTCCTGGATCCACCACTTATTACAAAAGATGATGCGTTATTACATTGAAGTGTAACACTGTAATCATCTTTATTCAAAACTATATTTCTGAATCAGTGGCACAAGCACGAATAAATATTCACAAACTTGAATACAAGACAATAAAAGTGGACAAACTTTTAAAAACAATTACTGTACATGCCAATATTGTACAATACGTAACATACAAAATTCACCCTTAAAATTGCATTAAATCCAGCACCTTAACAACATTGCAAACAAAATCGATATGAATATTTAGATATACAACTTGAGATAAATAACAATAAAGTTATTATATGTCAAATTAATCAATCAGGTTTGAGGCATACAACCTCAGAATGATGGACGCCTCAAGTCAATGAAACAGCGATATACGTTTAACCATGCATAACGCGCACAGATCCGACGCGTTAACACATTGCGTCGAGCTGCGTCGATTGTTATGATGGTGATGATTTCTTTTGTAATTGATACATTTTACATGTTTTTTTTTCAACTACTTTATGGAATGTAACACTTCAATGATTTTACTGTTTTACTATTGATATTTTTATGCATCCTCTTTTTTAAATGAATATATTTCAAGACAACCATTACTGTTTTCAACTACTTTATAGAATGTAACACTTCAATGATTTTATTGTTTTACTATTGATATTTTTATGCATCTTCTTTTTTTAAATGAATATATTTCAAGACAATCATTACTGTTTTCAACTATTATATAGAATGTAGCACTTCAATGATTTTTACGGTACTGTTTTACTATTAATGTCTTTTTTTTACATGAATTGTATATTTCAAGCCAACCATTTACTGTATTTTGAAATAAATCTATACTGAATCTTGAATTTCGAAAAGGATGAGATAAAATTAACGTGTAGTGTAGAGGTCCGGATAATGTACACTATCGTTAATGATTGCACTTCTTGTTAGCGAAATTAAGTAAACCTATGAATTACATTCTGTATTCTTAAAAAGTTGCACATACTGTATATTTGAACTTGTTGCTTCTAGTATCAATAAATACATCAATACTACCAAGCATAAGTAAAAATGTAAAATTCAAGTCACCGAAGATAAACCAGCTTAGTGAATATAAGCCTTCGGAGACTGAGTTGGAGTTTCCGTGGAATTACGCCCTGGTCCCGTCCATTTATGGTATGGTTGGGGAAAATCGGCCGGGATATTGTTACCCCTGTCGGTGACATCAGATCCCTGTCGGGCAAACCCTGGCGCCACTATTGAAATAACTTCTGAAATCAAGTTATTCAGGTAGGCCTGTATTAAGAAAATATAAATAAACTACCCTGTAAATCGAGAAAAGAATGTACACGTATTATACCGTTAACTTGTATATCTTAAATATCATCTAAATTCTATATTACGATGCATTTTGCTGTCCATAGTGTTCTTTTATATTCAACAGATATTTCATGGAATTAAAGTGGTGTGTCCCATGATCGGCTTGTTCCTGCAGATCTGTTTATGTTAGAGGTGAACTTTAGCAACGATTTACAGCGTTTATATACATCTTTACTGCTGTAACAATATATGATTGGATTTAGCGCCGAGTTCGATATAACTAGCACTTCACCGAACCATGTAAACCATGCCTGCTCGTCAATATCAATAACGTCAAAACCAAGAAGAATGAACTTCAAAATCACCGGTGTCCAGCAAAAAAGAAACGCACCAAGTATCAATGACGTCGTTCTCACAGCCTTGAAATCTTCATACTTTTTAGGCTGACGTGGGATCGTTTGATTGATATTTCTTCTAGGCCTATGTGTAAGTGCTTCTTTCGCAATTCTTATATACAAAATAGTTATTACAATAAAGATAACGAAACAAATGTTTCCGCTAATTAGCATTTGAATAGTCAATCCTACAGAGTTCAGTTGATAGCAGTCGTGGAAATCTTCCTTCTCTAACTTCCAGCAGTACGGAATCATCCCGAACAAAATCGATATCGCCCATATTCCAAGAATCGCCAAGTAAATTTTCGTACTCGACATGCCAGTTCGATATTTAAATGGTAGAATAACTGCAGTAAAACAGTCAATTGTTAAAACAAATATATGCAAAAAGGATGCTAAACCAGTGATCATGAGTGGACCGTACATTATTTGACATTCTTCTGAGCTGATATCTGTCATAGATTGTCTTGATAAAAACCCTCTCATTGCAAATGGCACAGATATTGCCCCTGTTACAAAGTCTACAAACGCCAGACTACCGACAAGAACAATCCTACCTTTACGCCGCGTGTCATATATAAATATTGCTAATATCACAACTGCATTTTCAAAGCAAATTAAACATATCAAAGGTATATATGTAGAGTATACAAACACGAATGGGTCTTTCGAAACTCCAGGCGATGATGAGGCCGTAGTCGTAGAGTTGGTATCATTACCCGACATAGCAAGGTACAAAATAATAGTCTTTTCGTCAAAGCCAACTTCCGTTAAATGAATCCAGATAAGAGATGTTAAAATGAATCAGGGGATTCACCAGGATTGCGGATACTAGTTTCTTAATTAATATTAACACAGTAGGCTAATATTACTCACGTCACGTGAGTAAGAAAACATTAAACTTTGGTGTTGTTTATCTCAGCTTTGGTGATAATACTAATAATGACATATAATAGCAATAGTGAACTATCTTGCTCAGACGATAACAGGAAATATGCACTTGATTTGAGGTGACATATCCCGGATGTTTGCAGACGGCAACAACCTGGTATAGAGCTATAGGTAAATAACGCAGATCTTAATAATAATTGTAGTAAACATCTTTAATTATAATTTATTGGACGCATCTATTATGATTATATCAAGTCACGTTCACACATAAGTGCAAAGAGAGACATAAAGCCTGTTGAAAGATGCAAGAGCTTCCATAATAAAGATTTAGTTTAAGTGACTTCTATACTCTTTCAGTATATAAAATATTGTTATGAGCTGAAATAACAATGATTGATTTTTATCGATTCATGTAATACAAATAATGAATATAACAATCAAAAATAATCATAGGCCATATTAGAAAGTTGGGAAAATATTGTCAGCCTGCTACGTCCTATCCTATATATTCTAGGACCGTTTCGGCCGCGGTGTATGGAATGCATGTTGTATTGTATGTTTTCAGTCAATTCGATTAATTGGAGGACTATTAAGTATCCTAATAACGATAATTATAAAGTAATAAATATGTGCATTGACCTAAAAAGTAATAAGACGACTGTGGGAAAGGCAAACATGTTTTATTTATGTCAATTCGACAAGGGACGCATGGGCCAGGCATAGCAAGAAACGAGCGTAGTCCTAAGTTTATATATAGTCAGACAAAATTGTTTACTCTCCCGATTTTTTTCAGAGTGTTAAATACATCGCGGCCAAAATGGTTAGCGGCCGAGATGGAAGGAATTCGTCCTCATCCAGGTGACAAAAAGCCTGTGAATTCCCTAAATTGATTTTGCACTTGTACTTGTTATACTTCATAATAGCTTTGAGAAAAACATAGGCACGGTTAATCGGCTGACTGTCAACGAATGAATTTTCATTTCAAATGTTCTGTTTTGCCAAAATCGCATCAGCCAACAACCGGTGGCCAAATTATACATTACATGGCTTAAGTTCAACTCGGACCACAATGGCTTGCATTACATGCTTTAAGTACCAGTATGTTACATACTCTGTCAAATCTTATTGGTTGACCCATGGTTTCAGGTAAGATACAACCTTCCTACCCTGGTTTGGGGGGGGGGGGAGATGGGCAGTGTAGGGGTTGGATAAGCTAACACTACAAAAATGTTTGGCCTTTTCAAACCTGTATCTGAGATTTTTGTTAAAAACCTATTATACATAAAAATAGATGGTTCAGTCCAACTTGAGATGCTAAAGCCTCCTTCCTGTAGGCCCTGCCAATGCTTCTTACCAGGATGGAATTACACTAGACTAGGTTCCAGTCCCTGAACTTTGTCTTAGTCAGTGAAAATGCCTAATTTTGGCACCAATGGCGTTCCATATTACATATTTGCTTCGCGTTTCATAGTATACTTTTTCTTGGTTTAGGATAACAAGTTTCTCAACATAAACCGACACTGGTGGCACTCTCCGAAATTAGTTATACTAGGAAAGATCAATAAATTAGAGACTTGTGGCAAGTCTAGAATCACACCAATCAAGTTACACTGAAATAACACATGTGAACCGATATGAACAACAACATTATTTCATTTATTGACACTGTATGCTGTATGCGAATGATCAATCTAATAATTATCATTATGATAATTCCAATATGCAAGTCACATGATCAGTAATAGTATACACAATACAATATACCTACATTGAAAATCTTACACAAGAATATAACATGTCTAAACATAGTCTGTTTAAAAACACCAAATGTAAAAAAAAAAATTATGGAAGAAATAATACCTTGATCAGCGGTATTCTATTACCGGTGATCCAAATATCGAAATTGCAACTTAATAATAATAATTCCCCAAATCCTTTGCAGCATGCAAAGAAATAAACCATTCGCTGATAAACTTTTAAATAAATGTGTTTTTTTTTTCAATTGACAAATTTAAGTACTGAAATCGAGACAAATGTACTGTTACTGTACTTTCATGTAAAATTTACAAACTGATATTCCAGAAAAATGTTACTTCATATATCATTGGTACACAAAGGCTTAATTGCACAGATTGTAAAAATGCAAAAGTTAAATCTCACTGCTATTATTTGGTCAAGTACACAAAGTGAAGTGATTTTTTAATTCAGACCAGAATTAATTTTGATTTCTGAGCATAAATTGATTAGTCTGTATACTACTGTAATCTAAACATTGTGCGTTTAATAGATATATTCCACACAGAAATGTGTGCTGTATTTGTGTTCCTTTATCAATTACATTAAATAATATGCACCTTCCCTTAAGCTTACAACCACACATGTTTTTGGTAATTTCCATAGTAATTATTCTCTGTTGAACAAGACTGAAGGTTTTATCTGATGTTAAAAGAATTGTAATTATTTAGAGCAAACACTGAAATTATAACAGTCAAAAGCAATAACTTGTCCATTTAAATCAAGATATACTACTATATACCATGTTATACAGATGACACGTCCTGCAGGTTAACTGCTCTAAATACAAGTGCACAGGAATGGATACAATCATGCCACTAGGAAATTTTACACCAATATATTATGGGAAAAGGGAATTCAATACAAATACTATACAAATTAAGCGGGATTGAAATGATTAAAAGGTTATGGCACCAAGATAATTAAAATCAATTGATTTAAAATTTGATCTGCTAAATGGTAAATCATTACAAATACTATACAAACCAAGGGAACAGATCAAAAGGATTATGGGATTAATTGCCAGGAAGACTCCTATTATGGCAGCACATGATTTAAATTCAAGTAATTTAAATTTTGAATATCTAAAAATGTAACAGAACTATTTCTTGATTTCTTTAAACAAATGAATATTTTTACCAATTTAATATGCCCAACTTGGTTTTAAAAAAAAAACCCCAATCATTTCTAATATAAATATGTTCACCTTGGTAACAAGAGGCTTCAACATAGCCAATCATTTCCGAGATTGTTATCCTCATCATCATGGCTGGCCAATAGCATAAAATCTGTTGCACTTATTCTATTTATAGAATATAATTTAGATGACCTTTGGCCTTTGGAGCACTCAATTATTGGTTAAACTGGCAAGGAGCACTTTCCAATGATTGGTTAATATTTTTTATAAGTAGTAGCATATTAAATTATCCATCAAAACTAATTCTAAACTCTGAGACGTCATCTATAAGCTGCATTCACTCATTTGTATTAAATCTTTCAATACAACATGTAATGAGTATACATGTTCAGGAACATGTAACAAGTATACATGTTCAGGGCCACAATTAACTTGTGAATGACATTTCCTTACATCACTTCTGACATGACCTTTGCTCTACCACATCAAGCAGTCTGTTGAATACACCCATTCAGTATATACATAGCAGGCACATAAAAAGTAACATCCAAGTTATATTTAAAATTCTAGATTAAAATTTTCTTCTCTAAAATATGATGCTGGTTTTACCGCCTGGTGGTGCAAGCACTTTATGTCCAACCTTTGCTCTCACGTTATCATCCACTTGGTTTCCTGAAACACAAAAAAAACTAACTGTTAATTACTTCACAACCAATAAGAGTCATAGATATTTTAATATGCATCGCCAACAGTCATTCCGAGTTCAATGGCCTCGAAAGCAGTAACTGAACTCTAATATTGATTAGTTCATTCACCGATTTAATAGATCAATTCTCTTTACCATACCAATAAATTGACCAAAGTCATTGAAACACAAAGCATTTGAAACATAACTGTTAGAATAAAAAATAAAAAAAACCCAAAAGAATTCCGTAAAAAACATGCAATAGTAAGATTAACAACATAATTTCTCAAGGGATATCTTTATTTGATGCATTCAGAAACACTATGTTATTTAATTATATCCTTGATTGACAAATTATAAGTTTACAAATAGTAAACTGAACTACAGTTTATTTTACATAGTACTGTGGTTCTGCAAAAATGTAATGGTAACAATTGAATGAGTTATCAATTTTAGAATTTTTGAGCTGACATCAATTCAGTCACAGCAAAATTCTATGACCATAATATTGTTTCATAACTACAGTACAGTCTATTTAATTATGTATTCCTGCACTTTTTGAAATAATTCACAATGAATGGCAACAATACAAGCAAACAGAATATAATCTAAAAAAACTACATCTCAAAACAGAACAATGGCATTGGAAATAATGCCAACAACACACACTGATCTTGGGAGAAAATACAAATGAGAGAACCACATCTATTGTGTCTGAGTTTAATTGTTGATCAAACAGATCTACAAATGATAGATGTTTTTTATCCTATAGAAAAACTGCACAACAGAAACATAATATTGAAAATCAAAATTCATCTGCAATACTTATTGTCCTACAAAATGAGGCCAAAAAAACTAAGCACACAATACAAGATGATATTAGATGAAATACAAATAATTCTGCAATATGAATGCTAATACTTATGAGAAACATCATCTACAACCAAACAAGCAAATGTGAGCAGTGGCACATCTAGGGGGTGTGGGGACCAAAAAAAATCCCCCCAGTCATCTCTCCAGAATCATGCTCAAATAGTTTAAATTCTCCTTATTTTGTGAGCTAGAGCACCCTCACCTAATCAATGAGTCCCCCCCCCCTCCTCACTTAGATCCCCAAGTGACCTTCGCCCATCCCATCAGCCCTCCCCACCCCTATCACCCTCCCACCTCCATTCTAAGACTCCTAGATATGCCACTGAATATGCGTCCACGCTTGTGTATGTAACATCTAAGACATTTCACAGAAATCACTGTGGAATGCAATGTCACTCGCCCTTTGAGGTTTAATCAAGCCAGAATGAATGAGAAGATGCCATTAGTGAGAATGGAAGAATGAAACAACATATGGTTAGAGGGGTGAACTAATTGAAGTAAATTGAAGACTAGCATGTAATAAAAAATAAAGGCAATAAAATGAATAAACACATCCTCCAGATAAGAGACTCATCACTCATTCATAAGATGTTCCCAAAAGGTCAGTAAAGTACAATGTTCCAATTTAGTATTAAGATATTAAAATATTAAGAAGTTCAGAAACTGTCAGAGGTTTTTATCAGTGAACATATCCTAAGGACACACCACAATGACAAGAAATTAATCATTAAAAGTTTAGATGACCAATAATACCAGAAGGCAAATCAAAGTGTTTTTATTAAATGATAAAACTATATGATGTGTATAAGAGACAGTATATATATATTGTACAACCTAATTAAAATTCATCAAATAGAGATTATGAAGAGAAAAGATGAAATTTGCATGTTTGTGAAAATGGTAGATACAATTTCCAATGTACAGCTGGACATACACTTTCAGATATCTGTCTGCTAGATTAAACATAAGTCTGATCAAATTTTTGGAGGAAGTTAGGCAATGATTTTGCTCATTGATATGGACATTAGGATATATGTATTTACTTATTTATTCAACAATATATTTCCAGAAAGGGCTATTTATGGATCTAATTATCATAATAACATAGCACTTCTCAATCTTTTTAATTGAGTCAATTCCTTGAACCATACACTGTCACACAAGTCTGCAGCTCAATCCACACTATCTCAAGTTATGTGATAAATACATGATTTGTCCATATATGGTATAATATGACATCATCATGCCCAAATATAGATGTAATGACATCACAATGCACATATATGGGCATATCATACAAATTTGTCACATAAAAGTTGATAGTCTGAGAGACAAAAATCTAGTAGTGTATGTCTGGCTTTTCATGATATCTGGTGTCTGAGAGACAAAAATCTAGTAGTGTATGTCAGGCTTTTCATGATATCTAGTGTCTGTGGCTGGTGCATTTGAGACAACTTAAAAGTAAGATCACATAATTTCAAGATGTACAACCGCATGCTACAAAAATTCACAAAGCAAAGCATTAACAAGCAGGTTAACAGAAAGAGAAGGCATGCATATGCATTGGTAGTTGTATAACATAGCAAAGTTATTAACATTCATCATTAATTTTTGTTATTTAATCTTTTTCTCATAATTGTACATTTTTTTTTAATTATTCAATTTCTTGTAATTGATTGGCATTGTTTGTCCATTTTAGAATGATTATTTTTTTTATTTAATTAAATAATAATTCAAAATAATTGAAAGAAAATCCTGTAAATTGTTACATTTACTCTTGAAATGATTTATATTACATGTACATTTATGGTCTTATTCATGCGTATTGATGAATCATTCATTTTGTCATTATGATTATTCATATGTCATGATGAATTATTCATTTCTTAAACAGAACGATAGGAAGCAGGGCTTGTGAGTTACCTGAGTAACGGGGTCCCATTTCTGATTGGCCAGGTCAAAGGTGAAAAAAAGGAGGGAAAACAAGGTACTTGATTAAGGGCATTTGATAAAATGAAATTAACGTTCTTAAAATAAGCATTTCATGTCATCAATAGTTTTGAAATCACATTCTGTGATTTAAAAAAATATGCATTTAATAAATAAAATGAATAATAGTGCAAAAAATGTTTAACAAAAAGAAAAATTAATTAATCAAAAACTGAAGCCAATGCATAACAATGAGCTGAATTGCAGTGTTCTCTGACTAGAACCTTTTGAGAACCAAGCAAATGTTCAAGATATACTGTCTGCAGGGGTGGATCCAGAGACGGCTGAAAGGGGGATCCCCAATCAAGAGACAACATTACAATTAGGGGGACCGGGGCAAATTTCTGTTTTCAAGACGCCCAGAAATGACATCTGAGGTGTTCTGGGCGATCAATAATTTCTTTCACTTTCTTTTGTTTTTCCTTTGTTTTGACTTTCTTTTCTTTTTCTTTCTTTTGACTTTTCAAATGGGGAAAGGGGCCTTCAGCACCCCTAAATTTTCCCCTGGTCTGTGGTCAAACTGGAAGAAAAGCATGATATTCTATTAAAACATTGTTGCTTATTTAAAAAGATCAAATAATTATTTTCCAGTAATCACAGTTTTAAACAAAATCAGTTTTTGTAGATTTGATTATTAGCCTATTTTTAATGGGTCTCTATAAACTTATGTTTGACATAAGAATATATGGGTCTGTTAACTTGCGAGATAACAGTCTAGTAAACTTGGAGGGGGTTGGGGTTCTATGGTTGAGCAAACTCCCTTTTTAAAACCACATGACCCTCTCCTTAATGTAAAAAAAACCCAAAATGAGTTGTTTACATGATAGAAGGTTTCAGATTCACCAGGTTATCTAGCTGTATCGTAGACTTTCAAAAGAGAATTCCCATCCACACTTAGTTATGGGCATGGATAACAACTTACTTAACTATAAAAAGGAAGCAATTGAAATACAGAATTGTTATTAAGTTAGCACAGACAGTATAACTTTAAACAGTGCAATGATCTATGACTAAAACCTTGGGGAACCATGATGTTAATGGAACACACTGCAAATGATGAATAATGAACACGAGAAAAACAAAGGTATACCATAAGCGATGGGAAGCTAAGTTTATGTTAATGATCATTATTGTTAGTAAAGGTGACAGAAGACATGCTTTTAAAATATAATGTGTTCACAATATTTTGATTGCATGTTTCAATTTTAACAACAATACCAATACAGTATAGTAGTACTAGGGTATTAAAATAAAATATTTATCAATATAATATATATACAAATAATGGTAAAATTATTAATATAAATAATAAAGCGTGTAATAAGGCCAAGTTAAAAAATAAATTGTTGATCCCTCTCACTACTAAAGAAAAATACCACAACCTAAAAATGTCCTTGAATTTGTAAAATTCCTGGACCCGAATAGTTGGAAAAAATACTAAAATCCCATTGACATTCTAACTATGAATTTTGGTTATATATACTATGTTATTTCCTTTTTCAAATTTATAACCATTTTGTATAGAAAGTTGTACAATTTTGTTTTCAATTTATTGTTAAAGAAAAGAAAGCCATCATCACACATGATGTTAGTAAATAATGAATAATTTTGTGAAAAATCAAAATTAATAATTTAAAAATGTGAAAAAATGTGGAAAGTAAGGCAGCAAATAGTTGAATTCTTCGAATACAATGAATGGATTTTATTTACATGACAGTGGTTGGGAATGCTGAGATATGAATTCTACTAGAACGTTATGCTTGATAGACCACCAGGGGGCGCCATAACCTTGTATGCGGTGCGATCTCTGACGTTATCATCTGTTTGGGCACCTGGGTGTAGGGGAAAGACGAATGTACATAACATGAATTATAACAAGGGGGAAAATGAGAACAAATGGAAAAGAATGGCCATGCGATTGATGCATATCAAAGGTTGATATAAACATGCCATACACATGGAACACATTTTCACAAAATAAAAACACAAAAATTAGAATATGATATCAAGTTCATATTTTCAACATCATATGAAAAATTGATGAAATTAAACTAAATTCACTGTAGTACCAACATTATAATATCAATTGTAGACAGTGAAATAATATGTAAGAAACATCAAATATATTGAATTTCGAAGACCAAACAGACTTCAAAAAGAAACAAGTTGATTAGGTTTATCAATCTGGAAATTAATTTAGTGACCTAAAACATATGTTAAATAAATTGATTGCTTAGAATTTAATCCAAAGTTGTGGAGTGAAAGTTCAGAGTTTCAGTTCTAAGCCACTTGATAGTGATCAATAGCACCTGAAATTTCCAAAAATGTGTAAATAAACACATTCAGCCTACAAACTCTGGCTTAAATTCTAATCGATTTATTTAACTGTTATGTTAAACCGGGAAAATTTTCAAACGTACCTGATAAACTGAAACCTGAGGCGTGTAAGTCACGGTGACCGTGACGTGTGGATGGTCGGTCTTGACTAAATGTCGGTTTTGGTGCAGACTTGCTAATGTTATTGGCTGGTGCGTTGGCTGAGTTCCAAACCGGACCATCGTACGCTTCACGATCCACACCCTGGGGCACTCTGACCTGAGAAGTAATAATGAAAATATTTTTATTTTGACTTATTGTTATAATAGTTTAGAGTTTAGCTTTAAAGATAGACTTACATGTTTGCCAAAAAACGTAAGTTATATGGGAAGGAATTCATTCCTTACCTATGCCTATTATTAATGAGGTAAACACTTTCTCATTTTAATTTTTAATTGAAAGCTAATAATCTGGTTGAAAAAGATATTTTAATTTTATTATTCATGTTTATCCTATTACCAACTAAAAAAAAATAATTGGAAACTCACTTTATCTCGAATCAATATCTTGGCATATGCTTCTGCAGCGTGTACCCCTCGAGCGACAAAACGTCCTGCACCTTGGGTAACATGAAGCTGGAAGAAATAACAGATTTAAATTTAGCACAGTAATATACTTAACAGTAACCTTGAAGAAAGAAACTGCTCTATGAGCCCTAGTGGCTCGGCAAGGATTTACTATAATTGAAAGAAAAATATGTACCACTTACAGCAAACAGCCAATGCACATCATGATGGTGGACGTATTTTGTAAATAGCAAGCAAACATGCAACATACAGACAATTTCATTTATTTTCTGAAGGTAGGTTTTACTAAGGAGATTTATGGAAGTAGTTGTATATTCACGAAACAGATTATGACGGTGGGGGTCACTCTACATAGGTATCTTGTAATAAACAGTGGATAGAGTAGACAATTGTACAATTATCTATCTAGGTATGTACCTTGTAATATCATATAGAGGATGTTTGCACCTTTGAAAGCGTAAAAACTTAAGCTATAAATTATATAGTTATACTTTAGCTGCAAAATTATAATAAGCATAAAACATTATGATTTTACCTGTTCATCTTCCCATACAATTCTCCCATTACTAATGGTTACAAGAGGTACTCCATGGCACACCATGCCTTCAAAAATATTAACAGTAACAGCCTGAGAAAAGATAAGTGGAAATATAGAGTACTACAGTGTTACATCACAATACCATGTGATACTACTCCGCAATCGTTGCAAAATGCGTTCAACCCGATGCCATTTTCACCACTAACAAACCACTGATCCCAATTTCTAACGTAATTATTAAGATGTTGTACTTCTTTGTCAATTTTAATTGATGATTAAATGTGTGTTCGATAACTAATATAATGCGAGCTTTTGTATTTTTAGTAAATTTTGATGGTAAAATATTAGATTTTAAAATTGTCATTCAGGCGTAATGAACGGTAACCTACGTCTGTTGATAACAGAGAGTGCCACCTGGAGTCGTGATGACACGACTGTGGTACTCTATGGAAAATTAAATGTAAATTTGATGTGTATATTACTAGAGATGATTTTTGTTAAATCAAGATCTGTCCAGACTATCAAATTATTTTGACAAAAACATGTGACATGCCTATATATGGTCATGATAACATCATGACCATATATAGGAATGCAACAGGGTTTTTTTCAAGTAAAATTTGAGACAAGGTCTAAAGGATACAATTATCAAAATAAAGTAATTAAATGACTTACATGATGGTGAGTGTCCTTGGAGATTTTCCTGGTTGCATTTGGATCCCAAATAACAAGATCAGCATCTGAACCAATTTGGATAACACCCTGAAATAATCAAATCAAGCATCTCATAAATACATTTAACAGTTTGGATAATTAATTAATATTGCATTACAGTTAAAAAATAAAATTTCACAAAAACTATGTTCCCACCTTCTTTGGATAAAAATTGAATATTTTAGCAGCATTGGTACTGGTGACGGCTACAAAACGACATGGATCCATTTTGCCAGTGTACTATAAAAAAACAACAAATGAGACACTTGAGACAAAGATGAAGATTATATGGAAATCAAAGATTTATGGTATCTTGAGTATTTTCAAACAAAAGCGGAATCACACTTCCTCTTTATGTACAGCAGGCCAATGTAAGCGCTTGTTTCGGATATCATTCTGGGGACACATCTGATGCGAAGGGGAGGGGGAAGGGGTAGGACTACAACCAATTAAGCTGAGGTACTAAATGTAATCCAGGAACTCAGCAAATGAAGAAAAGACTACTGGAGGACCATCACTGTTTAGGAATAATCCTGGTATACCAGAAAGTAAGATACCACAAATTGTTAGAATATATCACAAAAATGGTGGCCATGAGAAAAGTTAGTTAGTGTATGGAAATATAATGGAGGTAATAAATTCACTCACCACACCCTTCTCCCATATGACTGACATCCTGTCCTCTGCACCGTTTACTCCGTTAGGAATCTTGGTAAAATCATCCCTTCCCAGTGCCTTTTGGTCTGGATTGAATGTACAATTATCTGTTCCAGTGAGTTGCAGATCACCACTATACAAAATAAAAAAATAAAAATGATTAGTGCAATTATCCTCATAAAATTTACCAGTATATACTCATACTCACTTTATTGCATCCTTTTATGGAAATTCGTTGCTCAATACATACTGGATACATACTGTCAAATTTGCACTGATGGTTGTCTGCCGATGTGATTCCATAGCGAACGTGTTGCGAATAAGCACACGCAATGTATCGTTTTTAATGACAATCCGCTCAGACTGCTGACAATCAGCATATGGCGTGTGACAGTGCGTGTGCCCGGAATTAACCCTTAACATATAAGTGCACACTTTATTTTACAAATGTCACTTACTTTGCTAAAAGATCCATTAAGTAGCCAGGCGTGGTTGTGTCTGGTCTAAGAGGAGGGCCCATGACGTACGCTGCAGCATGAGACCAATCCTTGTCCCAGTAGTGGGTACCATCAACACCTAGAGAAGCTGCGATCGGCTCGCCAAATACAACTTTGCCTACAAGTATCGGGAATGAAAGCCTTCAGTAAAAAGGTCTCAAAACTTTCATGATTTAACATTGAGCAATACAGAATGCTATATGATTACCATGTATTTGTAAATGGAATGAATTATATAAATGCTATTCAATGACAATTTAATGCTCTCTCTACAATATTAAGATTTATGTCACAAAATATCAGTGACTTGAAAAAATATAAGCATGATGATGTTTCCACATACCCATATATGGACAAATCACAATCACATTTATCACATAATTCTTGATAATGTAGACAGAACTTAACTGCTGAAACTTCAACATTGAGCTTTTGCTAAAAACATACTTAGGAAATGCAGAAGCAGAGCAAAGTAAACACTACAAACATACAATGTATGTCAACAGAAAAGACACTGAAATCAACAGCAAATTACAGACACAATTTCACTGAAGCTCTATCCAGACTATCAAATTTCCTTTGACAAAAAACCGTTGTATGCCCATATATAGTCATGATGTGCCTATATATGGTCATGATGTGATGTCATCATGACCATATTTAGGCATGTCACATGTTTTTGTCAAATAAAATTTGATAATGTAAATATTTATTTCTAATTGAAAATCTTATGTTGTACGATTCTCATCCCCGGCAAACTCTACTGTGTTTTAAAGGGGAAGTTTTCCCAATCTAAAATAATTCTACAACTATTTTAGTACAATATACTTAATTACACATCCCATCTCAGCATTATTTTCTACAAATTCAAGGAATTAATAATATAAAGAACTGATCCAGGAATTACCATAATGCTAAATATTACATGGCTTATCACCAAACATGAGCAACAGAATAGATTTTATATAAATTATTATACATGAATTCATTATAAGTGGCAGATCCAGGAATTTGAAAGAGGGGAATATACCTACTACAGTTATACTTGCCTATAAAGTCGACTTTGCTAAGTCAATCTAATTTTACATGCTAAATTGTTGTGTTTTCCATTACTTATCAATCTGTAAGTCAAATTTTATTTGAATTCAACTTAGGCAAGTTCAACTGTACCTCAGCCCCACCTAGGGATGCAGTATGAAAGTCTTTGGCACATCTAGATGGTCAGAAATGGCACTCTCAAACTTAATATTTTGAATGCATTTTTCATTCCCCCTCTTTTTTCAATTAAAGAAAATTTAGGGTGGGGATGGGCCTGAATATCACCTCTGTAGATGAATAAATGTTGCTTAGTGATGCCACAGACTGAGCCACAGACAGGTCAAAATACAGCATGCTACAATTCTACAGTACGACATTTCTACCTCTCTGTCTAGCCTTAGCGACAGCATCAGCTGCCCCTTTGCTAGTAATCCGAACCACATAAAGTGGGCAACCAGCCTGATCGGCGAGGCAAATTGAATGATTGACAGCGTCGACCTCCACCTTGAGCGAATACATCAAGTTGATAGCAAGAAAAAAATAAATAATATAAATCTTTTAGTTACATTGCAAATAATTGGACGCATTCACTTCCCACAATTAAACACTTAATTTCATTTTTATCTCAGGCTAGAGTCATTTTATAATTTTAATATAACACATTTATAGTGTGATAAGATGTAATAACCATTTTAACATTTGTTATAGCTGATTAGCAAGTTCTGAAAAAGACAGAATATGAATACTAATCAATGCCTATGATTATATAATTGTTAGTAATTCCTGATTAAAATTGCTTGGTAAAATGATGGTTAAAAGGATTACCTTCTCCCTGATAATTTTTTATTAGACTGTTAAAATGGTTGCTATTGCGCCTTTGATAAAAATTTTATATTAAGAGTAATTGTGAGAAGCAAAGCATTGTCACATTAAGAGTAAGATATACATGTACCTTCCCGACGGGCTTTAGTGATTGCGTTTGCTGCGCTTTTGCTCATAACATGGACAATGTAAAGTGGACACTGTGCCTGGTTGGCGATGACAATTGCGCGTGTAGTCGCCTCTTCCTCAACCTAGAGATAGCAAGTCAAAGCACTGACTAACAACAGACACAACATGCAAGGGAGATATCGGGAGCTTTTGATAGCATGACGATAACATCTAGGACATATCGATGTCACAGAGTCATCTAAGCATGAAAAGACTTGAATTTTATTGCAAACCTATGTTGTGCAAAGAATTCAGTATGGCAACACAGTAATGAATCCATCCAAGAGCCTTGTCGTTACCATCAAAAGCTCCTCAATGTCTAAAACACCCGACCATGCATATTACTATAAACTTTCACAAAAAAATAAAATGAAAAAATATAGCAACAATACGGAAGTCGGCATATATAAAGGTATTTAAAGAAAAAATTAAATAAGTAAAGTGTTTAACTTAAATGTTAATTGAGCTGAATATATTATAATTTAGATGATGATACAGATTCCAATTATGAATATGATTAGTTAAAAATTAGTTGTATTTTTTAATGATTTATATGTTAGTTTCAAAGTAGTAAAGATTAGATAAATCTTAACAGAACCAGTTATTTTTTAAGTTGATAGCATAACTGTATAATGAAAACACTATTATAAACTTATGAAAAAACAAAATCTCCATCTTGTAAAAAAACTGGCAACATAAATGGGCATCGTCAATTCGATAATAAAGGAAATTACTATAATGCAAGTTATACTATGTGAATACATCAAACAGCTGAAAATAACTGAGCTGTTTAATCATGCATCATTAAATATGACAAAAATAAATGCACGGCCATACTGTCATAATCAAACTTCATTTATACAAATTGATGGTATAATGTAAATGCTGTATGTAGCTATAATATAAATATTTTATATCTTATAATCAGCTGCCGATTTGTAAGCTATTGACAGGCATACCCATGAAAAAACTAACAGATCATCAAGAACCCATTCCATTTATGTTTACTTTCCAACCTTCACTTTCTGACTGAACTTTAACCTTGCTTAACTCACCTCTTCGGGTCGTGAAAGTTCATGACCTTCCGGTCCTGTGATTCCTAAAGCAAGCATCTTCTTGCAACACTAGAATTAGAAAAAATATTTACAATAAGGACACAAATCAATCAAAATTTACTGCACGTATTCTGACAAGCATTTATTATGTACACATCTTGTTTAATTCCCTCTTTCCTAATTGCTAACTTACCATAATTAAAATGAGATACTTTTTGTTGGCATATTTTTCTATGGTTTTTGTTTGGTTTCTTTAGTCTATTCCTAGCAATTTAAAAAAAATTATAATATTGGTAATATCATTGAAACAATGTCTATGGTAGTGAACCATCCTTTGGATATTGTTGCTCCAAAAAAACAACAGCATTTTAAAAACCTCTTCGGGAAAATGTTTATTGTAATAGTTCATTCCCTTCTTTTTGGAACAAACTGCATAGTTCTTGTTCCCCCTACCAACCCCTTCTTTTAAGCCTAACATATTCAGATGTGCCATTAACAAACATAACCTCTCCTCTCTTTAACTTTTCTTTTGCTTGGAGTTTTCATAGATTATAGGTTTGCACAATGCATGTCATTGCTATTCACTGAACCTCCTGCGCATTATATCATAAAAAGTAAAGCCTCACTCCTTGATAATATCGCTATAAGAATTCACAAAGAAAAAGTGTAAACACACATAAAAACATGTGTGTTTGCAAGGCACATGCATATTTCAGGTCTTGTTCTGATTGGTCAGTTGTTACATGTACCTGCGTGTACACGGTAGTGATGGCGGCGCTATCTCAAAATCCGGAGTGCGCACTCACCCCCCCCCTCTTTCGCGTTCTTTTGTCTTTGTTTCTTGTGGCCTTGAGACAGCTTTCTGTGGAAAGCGCTATATAAATATATGACCATTGACCATGAGTCTCTGGAAAGATCCATTTCCCAGAGAAAATGTCTAAAATCAGACAATTTTCACTAGCAACCGACAAAATGAATACATAAATACATGAAAACATACCTCATTGATAAGGTGACCATTCTCAGCATGCATTAATGCAAGGGCTCCCTGTTCCTTCAATGCACACATTGCTTGATAAATCTGTAAAACAAACAATCAGTTTAGTTTAGATCAAAACAGGCATATTTTACTAGACATACTATCTGGGATAAAATCAGGAAAACACCACAATAACTTAAAATATTTTATCACTCGTTGAATGAGAGACACACTTGATTGAAGACTTTTACTACTATAAATCCTTAAATTTATTACTTTTGGGGTGGCAGAGAGTTGGTTCTGTGCAGAGTATAGAGAATGGTATTCTTATATATATGTTATTTGGTGAGAAAACAATATTTTCTTTTCCGGATTTTCTAATAACTTAAATAGAACGTAATACAAATATTACATTTTGTTACAAGTTTATTAGTACTCAGACACTATATTTTGAAATACATAACCTCTCACTCATGATAACCATTAAATTATATTCTTTTTAAGTTTCATTGGCATCATAGTTTTGATAGTATTGAGAGGCAAGGGAATTTTTAGATAAGGGCTAGAAACTGGATGTCCAGTGTAAAATATGGCTTTTGTATGCACATTAAAAAAATTCCCCAGTGCATCTTTTAGAAGAACAGACGGTTACACTGATGCTCAAGATCACCACTGTTGTGGAAAGATGGATCTACTGCGCGACTCCCTTTAACAGCTATGATACTCACTGACCACGCCCATATGCAATTATGCTGCAGGTTACAGATAACTGCCTATATTTAACTTTACACGGTACAGGGGATAACATGAAAATGGGACATTGATTAGGTTAACCTTTACATGAATGTTAGTTGCTGTTTTTCTTTGGTCTACTTCAGAAAGTAAATTTCATTGTGTACTTACTTCATCGTCATTCAACATAAACAGTCCCTTATATGCCATAAACATCTTAAAAGAGTTTATACCTGCAGAGAAAAAAAACATACAGAGTGAGCTGAATTCAACTATTGAAGAAATAAATTGTGTTTTTACTAGAATATCCTCTTCATCAGTAGCTTGAAATGTGCTGCTGAGCTTACAATATGTTCCTTGGAGTTAATTTAAATATTATTATCACTGGTATCTCCATAACAACATGTACTGCTAAGCTAACATTATGCTTTTTAGTTGCTAATATAATATATAAAATCACTTTATTCATTAAAACATAAAAATATACAGAATGGAATAAAGGAGGACAAATATTTACAAGCCTAGGTCAAGTCTCTATCACAGAAATGCAAGGAAAAAAAAAACAATTACAAAATCAGATAAAAACATTAAAAAGGTACAAAAACAAAACAATATTAAAATTACAATATCACAAGAAAACAAGATTGCACAAGGTGGGTAAGGCTAAAATTGTTGTAACTACTAAGATTTTTTTCATTATTATTTTATCATTATTCTTATAATTATTATTATTATTAGTGTATAATTAGCATCCCAAAAAAATTTTTAATGCCATTATCATTTTGATATCAAACAGATAATTCCTACAAATGGAGAAAATAATCCCTGAAAAAAATCCTTATCTACATTCAAAGAGAAGTAATGACAGTTGCTTTAAAAAAAGACTAATGAGTAGAAGAGGCAAAGCCAGGCTGGATTCCATGGACTATATTTGCACCATTAGAGAATGAACGAAAATTAGACACTACCGAGAGCAACTTAAGCTTAGTCGTCTAAATTAGTGATAACCACTGTGTGTACAATTCTCTAGGTCCCCGGTTCAATTCCCATCACTGCGCTCCTTGTGTTTCAGCTGGAGGGCTAAAACGCGAGTTACGATAGCGCACAATCTTCCGGATGAAATGTTTAAGATGTCGTTCCCGTGTGCATTATGGCCAATGTGCATGTTAAAGAACGCAGTACACTATTCAGAAAAGAGTAGGGGATTGTCTCCCAGTCTACTGCCCAATCACACCCAGAAGGACCCCACTGGAAATAAGTTGTCTTTAGACTTTCGTGAGTTATCCTTGGTATAAATAAATCCATCCATCCACTTCAAATCCCCAGTTTCAATAGGACTGATGGTTATGGTGACAATGTACAATATAGAATGATGCTTGGAAATATATTGGGAATATGTACCTTTCTCCTTGCAGAGAACCTCAATCTCCTTCTTGACCTCCTCACTCCACCACGTAATGCCGACATGGAAGGAATAATCACAGCACGCTCTTTCTGCAGCTCTCGTTGACCAGTCTTCGTACGCCTCCAATAATGACTGATTTTTTTGGGGAAGACAGTGGTCGACTGCAAAAAGAAAAACATGATTTAGGGCTTGAACAACACAATCAAAATATATTTCATTACAACTTTTTTGGTAGTACTGTGTTTGTGTTTAATCAAAAATTTGTCTTGAATTTAAATGAAATCTTGTGTGCCAAAGTTTGACATTGGCTTACCTACTATAATAGCACCCCTATTAAGGGGACACCTTAGGGACCAAAATAAGTGTCCCCTTAATATGGGTGTCCTCTGAACAGGGGTTGGCTATAGAGTTAAAGATATACTTTGACTTGTATTGTGGCCAAAAAGAGCCTCCCTTAAAAGGGATGTCCCTTTAATAGGGTGTCTTAAAAGAGAGTTAATAGCTTACTGATCATAGTGGTGCCACCAGCCAGTGCAGCTTTGGTTCCATGGTAGAAATCATCAACCGCCCTGGTTCCCATGAAGGGCATTTCCATGTGAGTGTGGGTGTCAATTCCGCCTGGAATGATGAGCTTGCCTTTGGCATCAATCTGTTTGGCTCCTCCAGGAGTAATAAGGTTTTCCCCAATTTGTCTACAAAATGAAAATGGATACTCAAATTAGTATAATTTTATGTTAAGAAATTTTGCCTACTAAAAAAACAATGTAACTAGTACAATTTTATATAGAAATGGAGCAAAGAAAAAATAAGCTTAAACCCTATTCAGACTACTAAATTTTATTTGACAGAAACATGTGCATTTGGATATGGTCATGACATCACATCATGAACATATATATATAGGCACAGCATGACTATATATGGGCATACAACAGTTATGATGACATCACATCATGAACATATATAGGCACACCATGACTATATATGGGCATACAACAGTTATGATGATATCACATCATGAACATATATAGGCACACCATGACTATATATGAGCATACAACAGTTATGATGACATCACATCATGAACATATATAGGTACACCATGATTATATATGGGCATACAACAGTTATGATGACATCACATCATGAACATATATAGGCACACCATGATTATATATGGGCATACAACAGTTATGATGACATCACATCATGAACATATATAGGCACACCATGACTATATAGGGGCATACAGCAGTTTGTTTTTTTCAGAGAAACTTAATAATGTAGACAGAGCCTATACACAGGAGCAGTGTTGATTACAATTCATACAGTGAATTCGGTGGCAATTCATTCATTGCCACCAAGTATAACTGCCATAACTGACTAATTCTAATTTCCTTTCATACACAAGTTCATTAAAAAGCAATTAAAAATGTTACACCTATAGCATTTTAGACATTATTTATGAAATACCAGATCAGTTCATATCTTAAATAAAATCAATTATGTTTCTAATTGTCATATAACCAAATGATTATTTCAATCAAATGACGAGTTGGAAGAGTAGATTGTATCAAGCTTCGAGAGTGCATTATGGTGACAATAAAAGAAAGATGACATTTACAAGTCACAGTGTCACATGCCATGATATTAGTGTCTTGGGATTTAGAAACACGCTAGTATGCAAAAATCATAATCACGGAATGCTGCAGTACCACGACCTACCAATCTAGAATAATTTCACATCTCATTTCTATAGTGGTTTTAGTTATATTTTCCGGTTTTACTTGTCGCTGTTATCTTCCATGATATACTTTATCTAGTTTTGCATAATTTGTTTTACGCCAATTTGTAATTTCATAAAATTTTTGGCTTCACAACATAAAGTAGTTAAGAACATTTATTTACAAATTCCAAAATTCAAGTGCAAATTATAATTTTTTGAAATAATTTTAAAGAAAATGAAATATTATATAAAATAATGATTTGTGCATTATATGAATGCTATATAAATAAACACTAAATATTAACAATAATATATGTATGCATTCATATCCAGAAGATACATCTGATAAGCAAAAACCACTGTATATATCTTGTTAATTAAAAAAAACATTTCCTAAAAAAATTAAAAACCCAGTAAATTTAATATATAACAATATAATTTCAATAATTTATTTATTTATGAATACAAAAGGTATGCTGCTTTGGTATTAAAATGATTATACCCACGGTACCCGTAAAGCTTTAGATGTATGTTGATTTTAATAATTAATATTAAAAACTTCTCTTACCGTATAATTCCATCTTCAATGTAGATGTCAGCATCAAACATACGATCGGCATTCACGATCCTGCCGCCTTTGATAAGAAGTCTGTTTTGGGCTGTCTGTAAATGACAAGATCGTGCCAATGACATGTTGTTTAGAGGAGTATGTTACTAGCAATGACAAACATCAAGGACATAAAATCACACTGATTAGGGTAGGAAGGAAGAACAGTTTTTGATGCCAACTTTCGATTGAGAAACAAGAAGAATCAACCATTAGTAACTAAACTGCATCAATAATCATTATCAGAAAGAAAAATACTGAAACCAATATGTGTGAACCGCATACTCAGCGAAAATAATTTAAATTTGCTTTTAAATATCTAGTTTTGACTAGAATTTTCTGCAGAATATAAGAATTGGCCATGCAGCTGATGTTATTCAGTATCTGAGTGATAGTGAAATAATGACGAGTTTACATATTATTGGAGTCAGAGCAGGAAATTTGGGTGCTACATAATGTGAAAGATTCCATAGGGGTCGAATAATAAATGACTCAAAACATTTGAATAAAACAGCAATATTGAAAAAATTTTACAATATGGTAGTCTCTCTTGTAGAGATATTGTATACATTTATAAGTAATTCAAAAAAGCCTCTAAATATATGATATTCAAAGCATAATTAAACTCTTGTTACTTGGTACAAGAAATTCAATATTAAAATTCTATTTCAAATCAGTAATAAAAAAAATAGTTAATAAAAATTAAAATATGTGGTTAAATATTAGTAACAAGTATTTCATATTTCTAATAGCTTTTATAGTTTTAAACGTCATAATTATTAATATGTAAATGAATATAATTACATTTAAATTATTTTTCAAAAAATATTAAAAGTTATTGACGACAACAACAGCAAATAGCAATGGCAGCAACAACAGCAGCAACGCTGATGGATGACAATGGTCAATACCAATATATATATATTAGGATGGAAGTAAATAAGAATGTATATTTACAATAATTAACAAATTGTAATGATTGCTTGTTAAAGATGACACAAGTCTGGATTTGTTCTAAGCCAAAATCCAGACTTTAATCTTGATGTATGATGCAGAGTAAATCCAATTATTTTAATTATGGTTGTTTTTCACAATTGTAATGTTTTACCACTGGCAGAAGACTCAATGTGATGTTTATAGTGAAATCTGCAATCTCATTACCAGTACTTCATCATTTGTTATTATTCATTATATTTGATTAAGTATTTTGTTTATTCATGCAAAAAATACTTTCATAACAGCTGCGAGACAATTGTACATCTCAGGAAGAATTTAAAATTGAATTAGGTGAAAAATAATTCACAACGTAAAAATACATACACTGACTACAGTATATAAAATATAAAAAGGAAAATTGAACAAAACATATTGCACTTAAAAACGATGCAATTAATAAAAATCACTCATGTATTTGGATTATAATTCTATAAAATGTGATGGTTAAGCCTACAATTTTAGTATATGGGATCATGGAGCTATGGATAAATTTATAAAAAGCTCCACGATGAGATCAAGCTGTTTTCAATCTGTTTAAAACACTACAACAACTGACATCATATTTAGTAGTATGGTACATGGGTTGTGAAAGAACCTTGCATTTTTCAATAACACTACCTTTGAACTATTCATTGTTGGCCTACCTATTAGGCTTAGAAAACACAATGAATTGGCACACCTAAACAAATCCAAGAAAAATAAACCGGAGAATAACAAAATATATTAAAATAACATACACAGAACCAAAGAAAAAAAAAAGAAACCTACACTAAAATGACCTATGGCACAGAGGCATTTTCAAAACTCTGTTATTTAAAGAACAATTTTTTTTTCCAGGAGTGATTTAGAGAACTTGTCAATAATGATGCCTGACTTGTACGACAGGATTTGATTTATTGTCAAAGGTAAAATGTACTTCATCAGTGTTAAAACAAACACATCTCTCCTAGACATATATTGCTATTAGTACAAAATTGACATGCGCTCTCATTTATACTGTATGACAAAACCCCCACTACCTATGTCACTCTCTTTGCAGTGCACGGTAGTGGAGCCGTGGGATTAGCCCATGATGGAAACCACCGGAGCCCATCGTGTTGCCGAACGGAGTGCCTGTGTGCACCCTGGGTGACAGGATGTTTTTTCGTTATCTAGGCCAGTATTCATTTAGTAATAATTGACCCTCGCGTTGATTAGTTTTTAAAATTGATAATTAAATAAATTAAATTTAGAGTTTTGGTAGTTTAAACTTTTGATGTGCACTATTGTGCCATGGTGCAAAACAAATGTTCATAATATTATTAATTAGGAAAAAGGACTACTGTACTGTGGTCCACTCAAACCTCCCCTTATTATTTGAAGTTCGAAGAAGATACAGGCTCTCATTTACAAAATTTCAATCATGCTGAAATTTAATCAAGGGCTAGGAGTGAAATGTTTCCAATTTCCCAAAAGATTTCCATCTGATTTGACCATCTTTGTTGAAGACATCCATCATCATGACTCAATTTAATCTCACTGAAATGCACAATACAGCTACAGTAGCATTCCACTTTAAGAGTCAATGACGGCGCGATTGAGTACTCTATAGTATAACTCGGAAACACTGCTTCAACAACACCACTTCAAAAAACACAATTGGTTTAATTTCTACAGTGTATTAAGTTCAAAATTTTGTATTTCATTAGATTTTAATTGGTTTCTCAAGAGGATTCAGAGGATTTAATTAAATAATAAAGTTTTTAAAATATAATATAATTTTTTGTTAAAATTAGGAAAATAAATGTAAATTCATATTAAATTATTTTAGAATAATTCTGACAAGGCAGTAATATTTTTAATATAAGAGAAAATCAAGAAAATTTCAGAAACTAAACAGGCCTAGGTAAAAGTAAACGCAGTGCTGTTATTTCTACAGTGTACCAAAAAGACAAAAACACCACTTTATTTCTTATAACTCTATTTTGAATGGGGAGGAGGTTTTTATTTTTTGATAAAGGGGATAAATCAATTTTTGCTTTCCTTGAAGTGCCTATACATGCCTAGGCTGTATGCTTGCCATTTCTGGGAAGACAAAAAGTGGTGTACTCCTATTTTCCTAAAACCATAGGAAACACATTTAAAAACTGTTCTCATGAATCCACTGTAATGCTATTTATTAAAGCCATACAACCAACCCCCAGGCAATCACTATAACAATTTATTTATACTAACTGTGGAATTTTAAAATTTTGTGAACAAATTAATTATTTGATAAGAGTTGAAAGCTTGCAAATGAAAAAAAAAATCAATTTTGGCCAATATTTCTACTTGTGATAGCAGACACTAGCAACACACCTAATGGTTATTGCTAAATAATGCATATCGGGAACTTTAAAGGCAGGCATTGATTATTCCGCTCAGGTGGCACACATACATTCAAACGCCACGCAGCACGGTGGAGCAGCTCATTATGCCAGCACCATCATTCGTAATACATACATTAGGGAATATCAAGTCAGCTTACAGTGCTGTATTCTTTTAGATTAGATGGAGATTTGTTGATACTACAACAAATATTAAAATTTATGCTATACCGTATTTGACGTGTTGACTACCGACAAGGAATGACAGTTATTACCTTTTTCGGCCATACTGTTCACATCAATTTCCTGCATACATTAAAGACACTAAATAAAACAATGAATGCAAGGAAATATAAATTCAAACACAGGGAACCCATATCCTGAATAGATTGTGAACGCTAATGAGATTTCTCCTTTAGGAATATACTACTTGTCTAGCAAGCAATACTGAGGCTCATAATAAGCAATGCATTCCAAATAACTTTCTGGGAAAAAAAAAAAATTCAGACCTACAGTGCTAATGCAAAAATTTAAAAAGATAATTTCTTTTTTTTGTAATGTCACTATCAAAATGTTGATTTTACCAATTTAAACGTTGATCATGAAAATACTAATACACTGTACTATATATTTTGAGGAAAATGCAGGGCATGTTTTTGATGGTAGATCTCTCAACCCTCCTCACTGTCCTCAGCCAACTCCTGTCTTAAGCCCTGTTGCCCTATGGTCCCTTTATATGACTGAACATAATACTGTAGTATAGGCCTTTAAACTGTATGTATACACTATATTATGAACATAATCAGAAATGCAAACATTAAAAAATGTTAACAAGTATGAAGTGAAGTGATAAGTAAAGACTAAACTGTAAGAAATCTCAACCAGGAGTCAATATATCTCAAATTTACCATTAATTCTCCTGATTAGTATCTTTATTAACCATTCTACTCATCATCAAATTACACTTTTATTAGCTGGTGAACACAGGTACTTGTGTAGATGGCTATGGCATGATTAAGCCCTGATGAAAGCTATTCCAACAAGCACATCACCTGGATATAAGGCTCTTAATGGCTGATCATGATGACTCATTTATGAGGCTTAGCCAAAGCTACGGATTCATCACGACAGGGTGGTTTTCATAAAGCATTAATGCAGCTATTCTTTTCTATTGAACTTTCAACATATTTGTTGCAATCTTCTAAACAAAAACAGTTGTAAATTTGATGTTATAGTGGTAGGGTGGATCAAGAAATAAATAACTTGGTATTAGTATTAGAACACGACAAATCTAAGCTGATCTTATAATTTATTTTTAGAGGTGCTACTGGATAACAGTACACCAATACCTCGATGCTGTACAGTAAAATTGAAAATTAAAACTCTAAAAAATCAATTAAAAAATGGCATTGTTATACAGTAATGAGACATCAATTTAACTATTTTTTTCAGTTTTTCTCTCTCTCTTCTTCACATATTTGTTAAGTATGCAGAATGTGATCTATATATGAGAATATAACTCAAGTTTAATTAATTTCTTGCAAAATATTAAATTACGTGACAAGTGCTACTGTACATTATGTATGGTAACTTGCTAGGAAAGAAACCATTATGCTCATATTATAATATTATATTACATATTATTATATATTATATTCAATAAGGCCAAGTAAAAAAAATTACTAGTTTCTCGTCCCCTCAAGCATCCATTTTCT